CTCTCAGTGACAGTGTATAGTCCTTCCAATTTGGAAGAAGTTTCCATGAATCTAGCCCCCATCCAACTTTAATTGATCTCCGACTTCAAAGGCTATGCATTTCTTCCATTCTTGCTGTTAAGATTTTGCAACGCCCATCTTCTGTAGATGCTTTACATTCCTGACTGCTTGTTTCCTTTCCCTTCACAATCTCGTGATGCTTCACTCTTTCTGAAGAGGCTAGATTATGTTGTGTCTTGGTAGGAACGGATTTTTACCATACATCAACTGAAACAATGTCATTTTAGTTGTTTCCTGAGTGGTAGAACTATGTGCAAGTAGAATTAATGGAAGCTCTGCCTCCTAGTTACTTCCATTTGACCCAGCCACTCTTTCAGCTTTTGATTATTCCTCTCTGGCAACCCATGTGTTTGTGGATGACATGGTGTTGTTTGGATCTTATTAATCTCCAGCTCTAGCAAACGTAAAGTGAATTATTTACTCTCAAAACAAGGACCCTAATCCGTTAGTTTAATCTTTGGTACACCGTGGTCGGCAACAAAATGTCGAATTACTGCGTCAAGCACAGCTTCCGCTCGTTAATCCGGGATCTCAATGGCGTCTAACCATCGTTATGTTCTGCTATCACCAGAAAGTACGGATTACCACTGGATGTCTGTGGAAAGGATCTGATTACATCTGCGGACCACAAGTCACCTACTGTTGTAAGTGGAATCAACTTTCATCAGCTGGCACTGCGGAAATCCTTGCACATTTTTGACAACATCTCTCATACCCTGCCAGTACATGCCTTGTCTGAAGAGGTCGGTTGTTTTGGATACCCTGGTATGTGCTAATTGGTGCCATTCCTGTATCATATCATGGCGTAGGGACTGAGATACTACCGCTTCCCACCTTGCATCGTTGCTTTCCCAAGTCAAAGTTCCATAGGCATTCAATCCTGATCGTCCTTCTGCCTTAGTGACATGGTTACCTTTCCATTCACCTTAATTCGATTTATTTCCGTTCCGTTAGTGATCACCCTGTATCGCTGTATTCAGGGTAGAGTCCACAATACAATGATATATTTTGTCACTGAAGGTCATCAGCTCATTTAGACAGCTAATCAAGTTTAAATATGATTTGAACAATTCATTTATCCAAATGAAATCAGTCTAGTTCCATTATCAATAGCCTGTATCAAAATATAGTCTCTTTGAGAACACGACTATTCACTAGAATGAAGTCATATTCAATTGACTAGCCCCCAAAATAGGAAAGGATTCGAATACTAGTTTCAACTCTTAGCCACATCCTATCACATGACATTATGGTTAAAGTGTTGTATAGCGTTAAGATTGCCTTAGTTTGTCTAATGGGAATTATTTTAATATATTTTATGAGACTGATTAGTAAATAGGATACAGTTTTGTTACATGATAGTGAAATAAATTCAGGCAGTGACCTGGGTTCAAGTGGGAAGCCCTGACCAGTAAGGTACAGCAGGATGAAGGTGAAGCAGTAATTCATCAAAGAAGACATTGCGAAATGGTTGCGCTATGTCGTGAATTGGCAGGAGTTAGAATTCATGGGTTGGCCATTGGATTGGGTTCCAGTGGCTTAATGGTCTATGAGCTCGCTAGTCTTGCAACCAGAAGGTCCTGGGTTCGAATCCCAGCGATGGGTGAGTACTGATGAAGAGTCCTAAACTAGGACAAAACAGCTATCCAGTACTCCAAGGTTTTCCAGTGGTTCTCTAACTGTACTACACCTACTTATAAATATATATATATATATATATATGCATATAATGCTTTGCAAGTTAATGGCTGTAGAAAAGTGTTCGACTCTAACAGACATCATGTTGAGTCAATCAAATGATATATAGGAATATCAGTGGACTAGTGTTTGGACACATTTATTCTCTAATCCGTTTGAATAACTTACCAACCTGTCAGTTAATTTTAGTCAAGAAAAAAAAGCTGTGAAGTTAAAAACTGACCTATTTTTATACTGCTAACATATTCGTTCTTATTGTTGTCATCAAAAATCTAATCAATGGAGCTAGGTGTATAAATTTTTCTCTTAAAACTTTCATTACTTATTTACCAGACGACTAAAAAAAATTTAGGTTATTGAATATAAAAGAAAGAAAAACAGTCTGCCTATTGTTGAAGTTATCACTTCGACTTTCTAATTGATTGATAGATAGATAGATATAAGACATATTAGTTCTCTGTATATACTCTTCAACTTTCGTGGTTACTGTGGCGCATTGGCCTAGTTGGCGACACTGTCACTGTCTTACTTAGTATTCAGTGACGAGTCCCACTTAGGACGAAATGCCCTATCTGGATTCCAGACTGTTAGCCACTAGTAACTGAGTAAAAAACAATACGTTTATGGTTAAAAGTATTCTGAATAGAAAAGAAAGATATACAGGCTGAACAAAATAATCAGCTCAACTAGATGACATTGTTTCAAAAACACCTGTTATTGGTTACAGGATTTCATCAAGAGCTGACATTGGTTAGAGAACCATTGGAAAACCAGCTGGGAGTACTGGACAGCTGTTTTTTCCGTCCTAGTTTAGGACTCTTCATCAGTGCGCGCCCACCTCCAGAGTTCGAACCAAGGACCTTCTGGTTGCAAGGCTAGCGAGGTCGTAGACCATTAAGCCACTGGGACGCAATCCAATGGCCAGTCCATGAATTCTAACTTCTGCCAATCCACGATGTAGCGCAAGCTCTAGCCAATATCCTCGGCGAGTATTTGTCTTCACACCCGATCTGCAGCACCCTAATGGTCACTGGGTTCCAGAAGTTAGAATTCATGGGTTGCCCATTGGATTGGGTCCCAGTGGCTTAATGGTCTACGAGCTCGCTAGCCTTGCAACCAGAAGGTCCTGGGTTCGAACCTCATTTGTGGGTATGTACTGTTGAAGAGTCCCAAACTAGGACGAAACAGCTGTCCAATACTCCCTGCAGGTTTTTCAACGGTTCTCTAACCAATGTCATCTTATGATGATATCCTGTAACCAATCAACAAATCCCTACAAACCAATACTTGAACACCCGTCATTGTTGATGCAGAGTATACAGTTAACGAGTAGTTTGTTGTAACGATGAATTTATCCCACATATATATGTATGTTTATATATATGTGAACAAATGAACACCACATATGTGTCTCTCTTGCTTATAAATCTATACTAAGACATAAACGCTTTGATGAGTTGAAATTAAAATTTTCACTTCTTTAGAGGTAGTCTACAGTAATTTTTGAGTAAGTGAACTTAAGTCGTTTGTTTTTCAACTTATATTATTCAGAAAGTGTAATAACATAAAGTACAGAATGTTTAATTCAATTTCGATTTTCCTCTTGATTGATAAACTGAACCGAAATGTTATGATGCTAGATCTTTTGTCACGAAGTCACTGCTTAACTACTGACCAGTGCCCACTTAACTGGTAAAGCAGAACACGCGAGAATCAGCGGTAAAACCAGGTTCATTTATAATGACAAAAGTGACTGTATTCATACAGAAAATAAGGTAGACTGGAAATCAACCAATCCAGTTGAGAGTTGGAATTGTGCAAGCGTCCAATCAGAAGCAGGAACAATTGCATGTCAACGACTTGTTGATAACGCGATAATAACTTGACTGAGACATGATAATGACCTGATAATTGCATGTGTTTTGCCTCTTCCTTACACGAAATGCTTAGCTTCAGGTTGACATATTGGCCCCTTGTACAGATGCTTCGATGAGGTGTTTATTATTTAACTTGAATTAATTTGTTGGAGGATCTGACTTTGTCGATGATGATATATATCTGATTTCCCACAAACTGGAAGATATGCAAATGATGAAAAGCAACAAGTTGTTAGGAGAAGAATCCAGAATATCGAGAAAACAGATGTGGTGATGAAGATTCCTTAGCAACACCAACAACTACAGACAATAATCAACGTTAGTAAAAGAAGCAACCTCCTCTACCTACCGACGTGGGAAGCATCGTTTCAACTACAGGTGGACGAAACTGATGAGAATATCAAAGCGAGGATCAGGAAAGCAAGGAAAGCTTTCATTACTCTCAAGTCTGTGTGGAGATCAACTGCACTGCACATAAAAAATAAGATCCGGATTTTCAACTCTAATGTGAAGTTAGTACTTCTTAGTGTACGGATCAGAGACTCGGCACTGCGCCGCGTCACGAAGGGCACTTCAAACAAACTACAAACTTTCATCAACAGCTGTCTTCGCTCAATACTACTCAAGATCAGATGGCCGGCCAGAAACGATCAGCAATAGTGAGAAATCTCTGGCAATGAGTGAATCAACCCAGCGGCAACCGACTGTGCAACAGATATGCAGGAAGAAATGGAGGCGGATTGACCATACTCGGGGAAAATAAACCAACAAGTTATGTCTCACGCCAGGCCATTGGTCGAGTGAAACCCGAATAGGAAGCGGCGAGTTAGTTGGTCGTCAGTTGGGGGGTGGAGTGACATAGAGGAGGTCATGTGAAGAGGAGGTGAAAGCATGTAGGTGGACGTGGAGCCAGGTGGAAACGTTGATAGAGAACCGGGGCAATGGAGACGTGCGATTGAAGCCCTATGTTCTTCTAGAAATTAAAGGAAATAATGATATAATAATTTGTTGGATGGCTGGAGACTGACAGTGGAATCCAAGATGTGAATTTAGTCGTTAGCTGGATGTATCTTTAGGAACACTATCACTCACTTGGAAATACAATGAAATACATCCAGATGACAAGTCCCAGACAGGACGTAATGTGCACCCTAGATTCGACTGCTAGTTAGCCACCCACCAATTTATTACACGATGTTGTCTATAAGTGACTACCATCATCTTGGTGGCTTTGTGATATGAACAATTAGTTGAGAAACGTTTGGCATTTTATATTACTAACTGAATATTCCACTCAGTATATTTTCAGTACTATAATTGTGTATGTACAAATATATTTTTGTTGTTCTTCTTTTGTTTTTTCAGTTTGGTCGTCTGTTTGGTGGCCATTACTTGGTGTTACCCTGGAATTGTTAAGTTTAGCTGTAGTCTTTATCTTCTTTCGTTATTGTCGTCGACAGAGATTACGTTATGGAGTTTGTAATACACCACCAGAAACTGGTGGTTCATTTGGTCGTTCACGTCTACTTGACACTGATGTCGACGGAGATCAAGTGGAAATGAAAGCTACTACGAATCCTACTTCGTCATTGTCTTCAACATCTGTGATCGGTTTACATACACACGGACCTATCCCATATATACGTTTATCAAATCAAAATAAACATTTGAATAATAATAGTAATGGTAATAATAATAGTAATAGTAGTAATAATAATAGTTTTCTAACTAAAATCACTGGCATAAGCCATTCTTCACCGGATGGCTATATGAATCCAAATTTAATACAAGATCCAATAGATGCAGAAGTTGAAGCTATGGCCAATGTACAAAATCTACACAATGAACGTGAACTGATCGATGATGATTATTTTTGGGATTCAGATACTGGTGGTAACAATTTGGATGATGATGATGATAATAATAATAATACAAAGACAACAAAGACAAGAAATAATCATCAAATAATTGCGTAAAAATAAAAGACAAAAGAATTTCTTTATGTAATATGTAATATATATATACAATTAAGTAAATAGGTAAGTTGTCTGTTTTATTCAATTGTTGTTGTGTTTTGTACAGAGAAAGAACGAACTTCAGTGCAGAGGAACACACAAAACGATTTTATTTCATCGATTCTCATCATCTGTGTACAATCTTTATAGCTGAATAAAACAAGTTACAGTACAACTCCATCAAAGATAAGATTTTATTTTGATAAGTCACACAGTAATATTAACTGATGCGATCACGTTTTGAGCACAATTCATTATTGCCCTTCATAATCATATCAAGTCACTACTCACACAACTTTCTTGTTTCATTTATGTACATGAGTAAAAATTGACTAGACATTTGAATAAAAATCAATATAAGATAATGTACATTCGGGAATAATAATATTGTTATTATCAATCAAATACAATCAGATGGGAAATAAGGCGAGTCTTGTTAGTCAGTAAGATAAGAAATAAGATGATGTTTAATATAAAGAATCTACAGTTTCACCATGTATGGAGGGGACATCTGAAGACCTACGTAGGATTCTCAATGAAGAGGGAATTAGGGTAACATCCAAACATACAAACTCACTCAGGCAGGGAAAAGCTCTGTAGGTTAAAGGACCCGGTCGGTTGACCCAACTAGACAAAATAATCTAATTTACAAAATACCCTGAAATGACTGTGAGTTAAGTCAACTGCATAGGTAAAACTAATAGATCGGGGGTAGTCAGACTGTCGGAACATAAGAATCTAGCTAAGGTAAGAATGGTTGACCCCGAGAAGATGAGTAATCCAGAAAAAATCTCAGCACTACATCGCACTGCATGCATTAACACACAACCACACAATAGAATGATGGTAGAGGGTTAAAATTCTAAGAGGTAATCTATGTAGGTGGAGAGCGAGAAAGATTGATTACTGAATCCTGGCTGATTCATCGAGTCTACACCCAGCACAACACATGCAACAGAAATGACTCAATGCAAATATCAGAGATATGTATGGAAGATATTATTACCACTAGTCAGTCCAGTCGGAAGAGGATAACAAATAATCTTAAGATTCTATTTCAATTCAAGCACATCACAACATTCTAACAAGTTACTTATTATTATGACTATAAAAACACTCGTCTTATTTCCCATCTGATTGTAATTGATCAATAACACTGGTATTTTTATTATTTCTGAATGTACATTATCTCATATTGATTTTTATTCAAATATCTGGTCAACTCCACACATGTATATAATTGAGGGAAAAAGGTTGTGTGAGTAGTGACTTGATATGATTATGAGCAGCAATAGTTTGTATTCGAAACGTGATCATTAGTTAATATTACTGTGTGATTTACCAAAATAAAATCTTATCTATATTGGAGTTATACTCTACCACAGTACCCAAGTTTTATACTTTTATCAAGTTACAGTTCAGTTATCATGATGAATTAGTGCTCAAACAAGGATTTTCATAAGACAGTCGTTGTGGTGGAAAACATATGGGTGATCAGTCACTTCAAATTATATATATATATGTATATATATATATTACAATAGTGAAGATTACTGTAAAAATGGACAAATTTGTCATTACAATCGTTATACGTCAATGATCATTACGTAATAAGACATAAGAAAAAACACTGAATAGAACTGATAAGATTGAAAAATTAAAATTTTGATATATGCAGAGTTAAATGAAAATAAAAGAGATGTAATCTAGTGAGTAGAATTCATCATCTAGATATATCTGGGTTCTCTAATGGGTTCTGGTGTTCTCACTCTAACTTGAAGACGCTCTGATGTTTTAAGCGATGCATATTAAGCTTGAGTCTTACTGGGAAGCAAGTGCCCCTCACTTGACAAGTCGTGATTAGGATGAAATATCTATCTTGGTTCCTACAGCCCGGCGGCCATCAATAAACGAGTAATTTTATGTAGACTTTGAAGTATTTCTACTTATTTTATTTTATATGCTAGTTATTTCTAGAACTTTACTGCATTATTTATGTTTTGCAAACGTTTGTTTTAGGCATCAATCCATACTGATGCACACACTTAGATGTGTCAATGTGAATGAATTAACCAATATGAGATAAGAAAAAAAATAATAAACCTGGTGCCGAGTTTTCTAATTCATTTTCCTCAAAAACCGCCAGTCTAACAAACAACATTTATGCACATACTCATTTCCTGTACCATATATCTATATACATATACACATATAAATGTTGTTAAAAAGCATATATATATATTATATATATATATATATATATATATATATATATATTTCCTGTGTACAATTGTGATTTTGAAAGATTTTGTGTGTCAAGAAACCTACTTATCACTGAATCATGTCAAACAACATTGTTTAAATTTGTTAACTGTATGTCGTCAATGGATACGGCGCGAAATCTTTTGTTTTTGAAAAACCACAAAACAACGTCAATAGATGTATGCATTGACTTTTACCAACCCTTGAACAAGTAATGAAAGTAAAATCAAATGAAATGAGGTTGTTGTTTCTTTTGGGGGGGGGGGGCGGGGGGCGGGGAATGTTCATCTCTTCAAAGAAGTTCATTGTTGTTATATTATTATTATTTATTATCTTTGATTTATTTCATTCCATACTCGTGTACGCGCATTTTTTTATTTTTTGGCAATTATTTATTGTTAAATGAGTGTAGAGGAGAAGAGATGAATGAATCGCTTCAGCTTTTGTGTGTGTGTGTGTGTGGGTGTAAGTGTGTTTGATATTCATACAACAGCTCTGATATTTCACCTTGTCTACCATATCCATTCAAGGTCGTCTTTCTGTCTCTTACATTGACATTAATGCATTTAGTGTCATGATAATGATAATGAAATGTGATTGATTGGTTAACGGATTGTTTCTCTCACCTCTACTGAACTATGCATTTGTGATATTTAGCTAACTAACTAACTAACTAACCATGACGATTATTGTACGAAAACAAAACCTCTTAAAAATTACCAAAAATAATCCCAATAAACTAAACTGATCATATCTTCTTCTTATTAGTAGTTGTATTGACTACTAATACAACGACTACTCAACTATCTTTTATATTTCTCATCTCTCCTCTGCATTTGTCTTCTTCGAGTTCCATTTAACCTTTGTTAACCTTTCTTCTCAATGCAAGTGGATGGTTGGAGTGGCTGTGTAACTTTCTCAATTTTATGATTGCATTTTTTTTCCAACTATGTTTTGCCTCACAGGATTTCATCATAAGCTGAAATCAGTTGGTTAGAGAATCATTGGAAAACCAGCTGGGAGTACTGGACATTTGTTTCCTCCGTCCTAGTTTAGGACTCTTCATCAGTACGCACCCACCGGGTTTTCCAATGGTTCTCTAACCAACTGATTTCAGCTTATGATGAAATTTTGTAAACCAATCAACCAAATCCCGACAAACCAACCCAACACTTGAATATGTTTGGCTCATTCATTCATGCATTCTGGTCTAGTCTAGTCTAGTCTAGTCTAATGATGATATGATAACTTCAATTTATCTTATCTGGTATGTGTTGTCTATGCATGTACTATGTTCAATTGTTTTTCTCTTTTTATCCTTTAGCATCTAATCTAAGCATTTTTCTTATTGTTGTTGCTGTCTTCGTCGTCGTCGTTCTTTTCATTCTCTTTTTCTTTTCTGTCTTTTTGTTCTGATTTTTCTTTTTTTTTTGTGTATTGTGAATTTTTTCAAATGAAACTGTGTTATTAGAAATCAAGAACTAATTGATAACAGTCATAACCATAAGAAGGGAATGAAATATATATATATTCTTTCCTTTTGCTTTGCATTTAATGCCCTGTTTATATGCACAGAGAGAGAGAGGGACGCTGAAAGAGATGTCTTGTTATTGAATAATAATTATTATTATTACTATCACCGCTGTTATTGTTAATAATGTTAAAAAAGCTGTAATAAATCCACTTTGTTCTCATTTCTTATTCTTATTCTTCTTCTTTCTCATTCCAAAATGGATTGTAAAGCTTGAAGTTTTACTTGTGTCTGTGTTGTATATACACAGTGGGATTACTAGCCTCACATCTTAGCCTCCCTTTTTTTCTGGGATTACCATTGACTAGGCGAAGTTTAGGAGTGATTACGTCGACTGTGAATGAATACCATGGCCATGTGTTTAACTGGCGTTGTGTTCTATCCTCGAACCAATAGACTCACCAAGGTGGAATGTGTCTTTTCGAAATCGAACATGAAGCAGCTGTGTAACAAGTGAAAAGGCTACTATTAAATCATTGGTGCCTGTTGTTTTCGTATGTCAATCGTAGTGATTAAGTTAGAGGGTTTACATTGAAAAAAAGCAAGAATATATATATATATGATTGGTTACAGGATTTCATCATGAGCTGACAATAGTTAGAGAACCATTGGAAAACCTGCAGTGAGTACTGGACGTCTGTTTCTCCCGCCTAGTTTTGGATTCTTCAATGGTACGCACCCACCGGGGTGTATATATGTAACAACAGGAGACAAGGGTCAGGCAACAGATTGTTTATTGAGAAAATCAACAGGTATTTATAGATTTTTAAGCACGTTATTGTTAGCAGAGAAACGACCTCTTCTGATTGGTTTTTCTTGTTGAAGGTTATTTTGCACTGCCATATATATCTGCAAACCGTATCCGCCCACGTTAAGTCTGCTGTGGTTAGTTGGGGAGTTCCTTAAGATTAAGCTATATTCTTGTTATTCCTCAGGACCCCGATTCAGGACGTAAACATAGATGTAAACTGTTCTTTTCAATTTTGGCTTGCAGCTAGCTCTCGCCATATATATATGGCGAATTGGCGAATCGGGATTCATGTGCCATTGGACGGTTTACCAGCTGCTGGTCCGATCGATCCATGTTCAAACTTGAAACATATCAAATACTCACAAACTAACTCTTAAAAACGCAACTATTCGTTCAAGGCTACGACTACACACACATTTATACTTGACATTAAGTGTTCAGGATGATTCAATCAGTCCAACAAATTATTTTATAAGAAAGTTTGTTGAAGCGATTTTATGGTCTTTGTTAAATGAATATTACTGGGTAGAAATGCTCGATCTCCATTAACGAGTCAGTAGTTCCTTGTTCAGACGCTTTCGCTATGCCATAAGATTAACTTAATGTTACTTAGTTAGTGATGACTAGCAGTGGAATCCAGTGGGAGCATTTCATCCCATCTGGGACTCGTCATCTGGAAAAATTCCTACGGTGAGCTTAAATATCAAGAGAATCCGAATATTTCGATCAAACCAGACGAAATCCAAGAGTAGAAGTACCTGTTTCACAAACAGTGGCTCTAGTAACCCAATGGATAACACTTTGAAGTTTGAAAAGATGAGGTGCTGGGTTCGAGTCCCAGTGGAAATATCATCACTCACAGGGAATACAGATATATTCACGATATATACCGAAAAAAAAACGAAATCTGCAATATTGTTCAAACCGAAGCAAGCATACAATTTTAGAAAACTATGTCAAATAACCTAATTACAGAAACTTTATGTGAAGGTGCTTTAGTGAATCCTGAAAAAACTCGTATTCAACTTATCAAGTCATAGACTGAGTCGTATAGAGAAAGAAGCGCGTTCACTAAGATTCAAATCCTACATTTCAATGAAATCTATCAATAATATTTATAGGCGTTGAAGCTCATTTCGACAGTTTATATCACTAAATGTTCGAATTAAAACCAGTAGTGTATGACGATGTCGTGAATTGGCACAAGCTGGAATTCATGGGCTGACCATTGGATTGGGTCCCAGTGGCTTAATGGCCTACGAGCTCGCTAGCCTTGTAACCAGAAGATCCTCGGTTCGAACCCCTGTTTTGGGTTTGTGCTGTTGATGAGTCCCAAACTAGGATGAAGTCGCTATCTAGTACTTCTTGGCTTCCAGTGGTTCTTTAATTGATATCTACTCCTGATCAAACTTGAAACAGATCAATTCCCTGTTAACTGGCATTCAGGATACTTATCTTCCTTTTTTGGTGTTTACTTGGCTCCAGTCTTCAAGACACCTTCTCAGTATCTGTATTTCTTCTGATTTGTTTAGCCTGGTCACTAAAATATGTTTTTCTGGTTCAAAAGTATACTGGTCACCAACCACACAAGTGATCCGGTGTTAATTACTGGTCGACACTTACTTTACTAGCTGATTGCATATATATGTTTACGTGAAAAATAACACCATTTCCACTTATATTTGAAACCTGGAAGGCCTATTTACTACTTAGAACAAAAAAGATTGAAAAAAATTTCAAAAACGATATTTTCAGTCAAATATTTGTAGGTCTACTAGGTCGATTTTATTTTGTATATTTAAAAGAAAATTGAGTTCTTTCCTAAAACGTTATTGACTGATTGACTGGTCTCAACATAGAACTCTGCACTGATGTGCAACAGTTCGAGTCACCACACTCCATGTAGCACGCAAAGCCAGAGAAGAAGAAGAAAGTAAAAAAGAAATGCAAAACAGAGACAGTAAACAGAGATATGAGGCAAAAAGAATAGTAATATCGAAGAATAACATGGTTTTATTGGATATTATAAGTGATAAGGAGTGTATACATCTGCACCAGCTATTGACAACGATCACTTTGAACCATATCACCAATTGTCTCCAGCCTTCACTGGTTTTTACTTATCATTCCGAGGACACCCAACCAGTCAGGAAGTCTACACCTTCTTACTTGGCTAGCTTAAACCAACTGTTGTGGATTTCATTGACTCATGTATGAAACCATGTTTTGATTTCACCACCACTGGCTCTTCACCATCCTGACACTATTTCAGCTAACATTTCCCATTTCAAGGAAGGCGATGACTAGGTATGCGTAACACACGCCATGACCAACTCAGTCTCTGTAGCTTCACAGCCTCGTCTATTGATTTCCTCTCCTTACCTATCACTCGACTGATGCCTAACCTCAATATTACTCAACTTATTATGCCAGCAAACACGGAAGATAGAATGCAGGCACCTAAGTTCAAAGACAGCTAGCCAGGCGTTTTATGTGTTGGTTTGTAGAACAAATTTGCCATCTAAAAATTAATTGATGATTTGTAATTTACACATTTGGAGGAAAGGCTTCATTGTGGTTTCTTTTAGAAACTGAAACTATCCACACACATACACACACACCACAATATGTGTGTGATCCTTTTGATAACACCATAAATGACAATCAAGAAGGCAAGCGCAGATGCGTAAATGAAGTGAAAAACTACTGAGTGATTTGCATGATTTTTCTGTAGGCATTTGACTGATTACAAATGACATCAGTTAAAGAACCAATCAAAATCAGCAAGGAGTACTTGATAACTGTTTCTTCCTATTGTGGAACTCGTCATCAGCATGCATCCTGAGGATCTAGCTCAGAATCTTTACGATACGAGATGATCACGTTACCATTGAGCTAATGATATGAAATTCATTGGCTGATGAACTTTATTAATTAGAATTTATCTTCGGAGTGCTTATCTGAATTGTATTCTGAAGTAACTGTTAGGTCTTGTGAAGATGCTTCATACAATTTCCAGTAATCAGTAATTTTGATTGATTTAGGTGTTGTTCATGAACTGACTTCATTTAATGAACCAAGGAGAACTGGACATCTGTTTTGTCCCCGTATGAGACTCTTCATCAGCATTCCCGAATCGGTTTACTTAAGGTAGGTCATGGTTTACCTATTTGGCATGTATTATGTCTCACGTTATGTGTATGTCATGAAGTGAATATATAGTATATATGATTCAACTGAGAGAGACAGGGAAGATGAAATTCCCCTTTCATTGGAAGTCTCAATTCACCTTTGTCAATTTATTCTGCTTATCTCCATATTTAACAGTGAAATGGGAATCTAAACTTATTCAGAAGCTATTTTAAGAAGTTTTCATTCAATAACAGACGTCTTGGACTAAGGTTTCCTGCTTGTTGGTACACTTTAATCAGCAAGGCATATCCGCAGCCTTGAAAGAGTTCATGTCCCTCTTGAGATTTGAACCCGTGCCACCCAGTGCTACAGTAAAGACTGATAGAATTCAGCCCGCACCAAACAAAGGACTACATACATGACACCAGATACTAACTAGTATTAAATGAAGCAGTTTAAAATCTTAGAATTTGAGGAACTATTTGATATGTATCCACATATATATTTATGTGTGTGTGTGTATGTTGGTCTCTCTTTCTGGTTGCTCGCTTAGTCTGTGACCATTTCACTCGTATGAACTTGTCTCCTTTAACAATGTATATTCTCCTTATATTATATTATATATAATATGAGTGTTTGTTGACAGTCCGTTGCTTGGTGACATATATCCATATATGGTGGTTGTTGACATGTCTGCTATATTTCGCTATGTATATATGGACCGATACTTCATTATAATTAGCCATTCATGTTAAGACTGTCTAATGATTGTTCACACCCTTGTCATATATATTTCGCTCTCACAAATTGTGCGACTTACTTTACTTACTTTGGTGTGATACCACTTTTGCATTCTCCTGGTGTTTGGAAAATAGAAGTATCATCGCAAACCTAGTGGTCTTCTGATTTCCGCCTTCTTGCGTCAGGACTATTAGTTTCTCGACCAGTCCATAACAATAATTTAGCGACGAGTACATAACAATTTGGCGACGGGGAAAACTACTATTAACCACTCAGCAGCAGCAGCAGCAGCATAACACTATTCTAGACTAATTTCTATTGGATACGTTTTAACGTTTCATGTCCCTTTTTCAATAGTTGTGGTGCTTGAACACTTTCAGATAACTTTGTCTTTATATAATGAATAAGTATGTGGTGAGAGCTGTCTGCTAGCTAAAATTATAAAGAACAAATTACGTCAATGTTTACGTCCCGGATCGGGGTCATGAGAAAAAATTATAACAAAGCTTAACCTTGGGAAACTCAACAT